TTGCATCTGGCACACTGTACCCAGGGTCCTGGGACCGGGCTGTCCCCAGACGCCCTCGCCACACCTACACCCGCTGGCGCGTGCCCGTCCCTTCCCGGGCCGTCTTCCCTCCAGGACGGGGCCTCTGGGCAAACACGGCTTCTCTCTCTGCACGCTCTGCTCGCCAGGGTGTAAACGCGAGCTTGGGAATAGACGTCTGCCTTCCACGCTGATCTGCGGTTCCCCCAGGGAACTGCGCTTGTGGCCTCAGGGCCTGGCACTTCGTGTCACAATTCCCGTCTTCTGGGCCCCTTTCAAGTCCTCTGAGCACAAATAACTATAAATGTGGGGGACCAGCCAGGAGTTCTCATTAGAGTTATCACGTGATTCTAAACCGCAGGGGATCCGGATTGTCACTGCCCTGAATTACAACCCCCCCCCCAAACAGGCCGGTAGCTGTCAATACCGGTGGTGCCAGCAGGTGATCCGCAGCGTGTGGGCCATCGAATTCTCACGCATGGCAGGCCGCAAAGGCGCCTGGGACCATGAGGAAGGAGAGACAACTAAGGGTCCTTTTCAGTTGCTCCAGCTGGTGTGACCGGGTTTGCACGAGGCCCGGGAGCTTTCCACGGTCAAGGGCAAAAGAAGGCAGGGCGGAGACCAGCCTGAACCCATGGGCCACTTGCCCGCTCACAGTGTAAGAGCCACCTGCTGTCCTTGTAGTGCCCAAGAAGGGCTAGGGGGTGGCCCCCGGGCTGCTCGTCAGCTCACTGGGGGCACACAGAGGTGCCCTTCTAGAGCTGGCTTCACGCCCCCGCCTCGTCTTGTACAGGGGACACTGACGACAAGACGTTTCCTGTAGTTCGGTCTGTTCATATGGCCGCCAGGTCACCCTGTGACCCCCTAACAAAGCATTCCCAAAGTCACCCAAGATCCTGCGGTTGGCCCAGAATATGTCAATGTGTTTAGGGAAAAGGACTTTAAAGTCAGAAAAACGTGGGTGTAAATCTTAATGCTGCTACTTGTTAAAAATGTGCCCACGGGTTAGTGGCGCTGCCAGAAAACTAAGGCCAGTGGCCAAATTCAGTCGACTGCCTCATTTTCTACGTGTGTAGGTATTGTCTGGGCCATGTGTCACCATTGTCTCTCCCTACAATGTCTAGTGACGGGGATCCTTGTGGACACAAAGCCCAAAATACTATCTGGCCTTTCGGCAAAATTTGCCACTCCCCCAGGGAAGATTATTTCACCCCCAAGCCTCAGTTTCCCCATCGGTAAAATGGGCAGAATCACTTACATCAAAGAAGTGATGCTGTGAAAAATAAATAAGGTAATAAATGTCAAAAGGCCACACGGCAGTGATGGACATGTGTTGGGATTTTTTTTTTTAATTATTATTTTAGTCTTGCTGTTGGCAGCCATGTCCCTCTTTGGTGGGTGGGAGGAGGACATAGCCTCTGTCTGTCTTTATCCTTATTTCCCTTTTTATTCTCTTCATTTTGCCCCATTTCACCCCCGAGCCTCCAAAAGAGAAAAATGTTAATAGAAAATAGCGTGATGGTTAAGAAAATGTTAAAGGGATAGAAAATAAACTTACTCTGAAGGAAGTGGCTCAGTCGGCTGAGCATCCAACCGGGTAGCTCAGTCGGTTGAGCACCCAACATAGGTTCAGGTCATGATCTCCCAGATCGTGGGTTCGAGCCCCACATCGGGCTCTGTGCTGACAGCTCAGAGCCTGCTTTGGATTCTTGTTTCCTTCTCTCTCTGCCCCTGCTTCTGCTCATGCACATGCTCTCTCTCAAAAATAAACATTAAGAAATTACAAAAAAAAAAAGTCAATCTTAGTGAACATCTCAAGTTACTTATTTTATGTCTTTTAAGTAGTAATTTCTAGGGGTGCTTGGGTGGCTCAGTCGGTTAAGCATCCAACTTCAGCTCAGGTCATGATCTCACAGTTCGTGGGGTCGAGCCCCACGTCAGGCTCTGTGCTGACAGCTCAGAGCCTGGAGCCTGTTTCAGATTCTGTGTCTCCCTCTCTCTCTGACCCTCCCCTGCTCACGGTGTCTCCCTCAGCAATTTTTTTAAAAAAGTAGTAATTGCTGTCCTCATTTTTATTTTCAATATAAATTTAATCATGCAATTTGTAATATTCTATAGAGAATGGTGAATTCTTGCCTTCTCCTATTTACAGAATTTTTTCCCCTAGAGATAGCATGATATGTTTTCACATTTTCCCATGCAAAATGTTTGTCTTCTTGGGAAATTTTAATAAAAATCTAAAAATCATGATATTCAAAATTATCAAATGGATGAATCTATGGGAGATCACCTATATATATGGGAAGGAAAGAACTTTCCACACTTGTGAAAACAACCTTCTTCGGCTCCTTTCATAGTAAAAGGCTTTTTAAAAATTTCAGTTCAGCGTTTCCCTTATCAACCTTCCCAGCCTTACAATTTGCCTTGCAAAGAAGTTGAAATCCTCAGAATGGATTACAAGAAGTATGCATATCCCTACCAAAACTAAACATATTAGGCATTTAAATATTTTTAATCAGAACTATTACAAGGTTTAAGGCAGAGATAAATGGTTTCAGTGCAGGGAGATTTAGAACATCCAAGACCCAGTAGAGGAAGTGTTACTTTCCTTAAATTCACTGTTCTCACCAACGATCACAGCATAGAGTTCTATACATTTTTTTTTTCAATTCTTGCATTCTTTCAACTAGGTCAGTTCAATATGTGTCCAGCCAAGAAGATCTACTGCTTTTATATCTCTAACTAAGAGACACGTTCTAAACATGTGGAAGAAATGGAAAACCATTTTGGTTCTAGTTATTTTGTGACCATCCTACTCTCTGATCATATAATCAACTGAAATTGGTCAACATTTTTCCTTAGGTGAAGATCCAGGAAAACCAAGACGGCTGTGTTTGGTTCAGAAAATGTAAAGGAGAGAAAAGCATGGTTTTCCTCCTAGGTGCTCATGCTTCAGAACTGTTTTGTGATAAGAATCCAAAATGGGAGACTTCATGCTCTGGAAAACAGTGTGGAGGTTCCTCAAAAAATTAACAATAGAACTTCCCTGTGACCTAGCAATAGCACTGCTAGGGATTTACCCAAGGGATACAGGAGTGCTGATGGCATAGGAGCACATGTACCCCGATGTTCATAGCAGCACTTGCAACAATAGTCAAATCATGGAAAGAGCCTAATGCCCATCAAATGACGAATGGGTCAAGAAGATGTGGTTTATCTATGCAATGGAATACTACATGGCAATGAGAAAGAATGAAATCTAGCAACATGGATGGAACTCAAGGGTGTTATGCTAAGTCAAATAAGGCAGAGAAGGACAGATACCATATGTTTTCACTCATATGGTGGATGAGGAGAAACGGAGGACCATGGGGGAGGGGAAGGGGAAAAATAGTTAAGGAGAAGGAAGGAGGCAAACCATAAGAGAGTCTTAAATACTGAGAACAAACTGAGGGTTGATGGGGGTGCGGGAGAGGGGAAAAGGGATGATGGGCATGGAGGAGGGCACTTTTTGGGATGAGCACTGGGTGTTATATGGAAACCAACGTGACAATAAACTGTATATTCTTTAAATGTTTTATTTATTTCTAGGAGAGAGAGAGAGAGACAGCGTGAGCAGGGGAGGGTCAGAGAGAGAGGGAGTCACGGACTGAAACGGGCTCCAGGCTCTGAGCTGGCAGTCAGCACAGAGCCCGACGCGGGGCTTGAACCCACGAACCGCGAGATCATGACCTAAGCGAAAGTCGGATGCTTAACCGACTAAGCCACCCAGGTGCCCCGACAATAAACTATATTTTTTAAAAAAAGAAGAAGAAACAAAATGGGAGCCTCTGGCCTGGCCACAAACATGGTTGCCATAGGTCTGAAGGAGCAGATACGATGGGAAGGTTTTGGGAGTCAGATGCCTAAACATGTGGCATGTTCCAGAGGCATCGACTTTTCTCCACGTTGTTATCCCATGAGCTTGGACGGTGAGGGATCTGTGATCTCTCTGCTCGTGCCCGGGCCTCCATGTCTCTGTTGCAGATACCCATGCCAGTCTATGTATGGTCATGGTGGACAAGGTTTGGAATCTGTGAATTCTGATGCCTGCCTTCATTGCTAATTACATGAGCTTGGGTACATTATTTAATCTTTCTTTGTGTCTCTGTTTCCCTGAGCGCAAAACAGCACTTGCCTCAAAGTGTCATCACGAACTTCAGATTGGTCAAAGGGTGTAGATACCTAGCACATCACAGTGCATATAGCAAGGACCCAACAAATGCTTGCTCCTCCTTTATTTGTCTATGATTATGAGCCTTGAGTGTACTAAAGAAACCATAAAGTGTCTTATATTGTCAACATTATGTTGTCATCTAAAATCCAGTGTCTTGTTTGTCGAGGGACTATAGCTTTAGGAGGAAAAGTTATCTTGTTTGTGATAAGACAGATAATGGTATGAATGGTTGAATGATAATCTCAACCTTCATAGATGGGAAAGGTGGTTGTAAATCATCTGTTCCCAAGCTATTGGTGAGGAAATACTTTAAATTTCCAACAAGAATCTCTACATTGGCAAGATGAAAGAATGAGGTGAAAGGAAGGAAAGTCAAGATGTGAGCAATCAAGAGGCGCCGGGGCGGCTCAGTCGGTTAAGCGTCTGACCCTTGAATTTGGCTCAGCTCATGAGCTTATGGTTCTAGAGCTTGAGGTCTGCACTGACACCTCAGAGCCTGCTTGGGATTCTCTCTCCTTCTCTCTCTGCCCCTCCCCTGCTCGTGCTCCCTCTAAGTAAGTAAATAAATAAATACTTATTTTAAAAAGATGTGTGCAATCCAGATAGTGGGCAGAGAGACAGACAATCCGAGAGCAGCTACTGGGTGACAAATGTACCCATTTCACCAAATGATACACAAGAGAGTGACAGATGTCGGGGACCTAAGAGTCAGCCCCAGGATACAGATCAGCCCTTTGGGTAGACCTGTCCATCATCACCTGCATGGATGTATGATGACAGCAGGCGTGCCGAGGTGCGGCGGGACGAAGCAACACCTGGTGCTGTGGGCACTTACGAGGGACGGGTTTGGGGTCGGAGGCTGGGAAAGGCTTCCCTGAGGAAAGATGCTCACAAGGAGGAGTAGGGTGCACTGGAAAGAAGTGGCTTTTCAAGGGTGAGCCCAGCATTTGGTGTCTCCAGGAAGAAAACACAGTTTTACATCGCTCGTGAGGACAGACAGGGCCTCGTGTTCGGAGCCCAGGGAGGCAGGACCAAGCTGCGCCGGAGGAGATCAAGGGGCTGGGAGAACTCCCAGGTCAGGCTTTCCCAAAACGTGTTGGTCACACATTAGCAATCAGTGAGTTCACTCACCGCGCAGCCCTTCCAACTCGGTCAGGACAGGGAAATGCGAATTCAGAGAAGGGCGGACGCAGGACGATCCGGATTCAGCAAGGACTGGATAGATCCAAGGAGACATCCACAGGCAGGCGTCTTTGTCGGCTCAAGTCTCTTCCCTCGTGATGGATTCCAGAACTACTAAGAGCCCTCTCTTGATGCTGCAGGAAGGGTATTTCCATTGTATTATTTCCTCTGTTTTTGTATACGCTTGACATTTCACATAATAATGAATGTTTGAAGTTAACAATGCAGCTTGGTTGTAAACACGGGCCAGTGGCCAGGTGTTTCCCTGAGACTGTCACCTTTGGCTGGCCTTCGGCAGGGGAAGGGCTGTGGGTGCCCTCCTTAAGAAAGAGGAAAGAGACAAGCTCATTATGTTTGTTGAAGGATCAAAGAATTAGAGTACTTGGTTCAATTCTCTGAACCTCCTACATCTGGGGAATTAGGCTATAAATCCTACGAAGCGTTCTCTGGGGATTTCCAAGAATTGTTTACACCCAGACCACAAACAACACGACAGGAGCACAGACTTTATTTCACAGTGTTTTGGCATCTGCAGCTCAGACTGAAATTGCAAGGCAGCAGAAGAGGAGAGCAATGAAGAACGGTGCACACGTTTTGAGTACCTCATTCTCTCTATGGTTCCAACTTTATATCTGGAATACTCTTTCTTCCTCTCTCTTGTTCCCTCCTTTCCTTTCTATCTTTCCTTCTGCCTTTCATTCACTCTAAGTGCCCATTGTTTTTTTAATTTTATTTTAACTTGTTTTTTTTTTTTTTTAGAGAGAGAGAGAGTGTGTGTGTGTATGAACAGAGGAAAGGGGTGGAGGGAGAGAGAGAATGTCTTGCAGAGCCCAACATAGGGCTCAATCCCACGACCCTGGGATCATGACCTGAGCTGAAATCAAGAGTCAGATGCTTAACCAAATGAGTCACCCAGGCGCCCTTCCAAGTGCCAATTCACAATGTATGCCAGGCACCGTCCAAGGCACTAGAGGCTAGGAAGTTAAACAGGCAGGTACTTATTCTTACCTAAAGATCCACTCTAGTGAGCAATATTAAATAATTAAATTAAACCAAAATTAAGCAGTTGACATTAAAATTAAATAACTTAAAACACAAAATCAAACATAATTTTAGGCAAGGACACATCCTCGGAAGGAAGAGGTTGGGACACTTGATAAGAAAACATGTTTGTAGAGAGAACAAGTATACACTCAGGGGCCAGAAGTAGCCCCTCCTCGTCTACAGGTCCCCAAATCAAAACGGTTTTTTGCATTATAACATTCCCGAGGGTCTTATATTCATACCAGCCCCATGCTTTCCATTCTTTCTGAAAAGAAAAGCTTAAATTGAGATGATAGAACTTTCACCCACAACCCCCTCCCCTCCCCTAGTCCCCGTCAACCATACTAGAAGCTGTTATTTTATCCTAAATAAAATATAGAGATTTTCTTTTTTTTTAATTTTTAATGTTTTTTATTTATTTCTCAGAGAGAGAGACAGCATGAGCAAGGGAGGCTCAGACAGAGAGGGAGACACAGAATCTAAAACAGGCTCCAGGCTCTGAGCTGTCAGCCCAGAGCCCACAAACTGTGAGATCATGACCTGAGCCAAAGTCAGACACTTTTTTAATTAAAAAATTTTTTTTAATGTTTTTTATTTATTTCTGAGAGAGAGAGATAGTGTGAACAGAGGAGAGTCAGAGAGAGAGGGAGATACAGAATCTGAAGCAGGCTCCAGGCTCTGAGCTGTCAGCACAGAGCCCAACGTGGGGCTCAAACCCACAAACTGTGAGATCATGACCTGAGCCAAAGTCAGATGCTTAACAGACTCAGCCACCCAGGCACCCCAAAATATAGAGATTTTCTACATCTGTGATTAAGAGTGCATTAGGTCCTACGTAGAGGAGGATTATAGGAAAGCAAGTTACTTATAATAAAAACACAGAGGTTAGCAGTGATGAATCCTTTCAATGGGAGTTCCTTGAAAGCAAATCTGGATTTGGAGCAAAGTCACAGGATTCAGAGCAGGGACAGGAGAAAACCAGGCACAGCAGACCATTGACATTGAAATAGAATATCTTCCTTTCTTATTTTGAATTTACGTTGCATTTTCAGAACAGCGGGGAGGCTACATTTGGGCAATCCCAAACATTATTTCATTAATACAATGACATTTTAAAAAATAATTCAACTCCATGTCATGTTGGATGGCAGCAGGAAATGGGCAAAAAGACAGAGGGAAGAAGGGCAGAGCAGATGCAAAGCGGGGGTGAAAGACAGATTGACAGAAGGAGAAGAAAAAGAAGGAAGGAAAGGACACAAAAGAGACACGGAAACACCATTAGGGGAAAAGAAGTCCCTAGAAAGCAAAAAGCAAAAAGAAAAATAGAAGAAAGTCAAAACTGCTAGTCACTCAAACAACACAACATCGATTTATATCCATTCCCCTTGAAATGCTAATTAGCTGACTAGCTAGTATCAGACTCAAAACCCTTATGCTGAAAACAATTTTTATTCAAAATGGAAAAGTAGCTAAGTCTTCCTCTAAAACACTAGTCTCTGAATTACTGTAACAATGTAACAATGTCTGTAACAATTCAAGTGCCCCGATCTCAGAAGCTAGAATCTCCTATGTTAACTTGGATTTAAAGAAAATAAATAACCAACCAAACAAATAAATAAATAAGAAGCTAGAAGCGCCACCCAATCTTGAAGTTTTAAAATAAAATTCTTGGGGCACCTGAGTGGCTCAGTAGGTTAAGCATCCGACTTTGCCTCAGGTCATGATCACACAGTTTGTGGATTCGAGCCCCGCGTAGGGCTCTGTGCTGACAGCCAGCTCAGACCCTGGAGCCTGTTTCAGATTCTGTATCTCCCTCTCTCTCTGACCCTCCCCTGCTCATGCTGTCTCTCTCTCAGAAATAAATAAAAAACATTTTTTAAAAAGCTTTTAAAAAATAAAATAATAAAATAAAAATTCTTGGATTACATTTCCAGAGGTGTTACATCCTTTAACAAATCTTATGCAGCTCAAAATGATGGAATAAACTGTCACTGACTTTCTCATCATTAAACTTTTTTAGTCAAATTCACATCAGTTGTTTGGGCTACAGTGAGAAACTGGGGGTCAGCTGGACTCAGTTCAGTGGGCAGAGGTTTTCTGGAAGGAGAACTTCTCCTCTACCTTCTTAGTTCATTGTTTGAGGGCCTGCAAATTAAATTGGCCGATTAGCAAGACAAAATGCAGATGTAATTACATAGGTAATCACATGTGCGAATATGTAAATTACCTATGTCATTTTGTCTGTACACACAGGTTTTCACAAGGAAATGTGACTTGAGGAGGTCATTAGAATTTGGAGTTCATGTATCTTTTTTTATTTACGCTTATTTTTGAGAGAGAGAGAGAGAGAGAGAGCAAGCTGGGGAAGGGGCAGAGAGAGAGGGAGAGAGAGGATCCCAAGCAAGCTCCAAACGGTCAGCTCAGGGCCCCGTGTGAGGCTCAAACTCCTGAACCGTGAGATCATGACCTGAGCAAAAATCAAGAGCAGGACGCTTAACCGATGGAGCCACCCAGGCACCAGGAGTTTTTATACCTTAAATAGGGGATGGGAAGGGGCAGATACTTCTGGGAGAACAAATGACTTCCTAAAAGTGGGAGAGATTCCAGGAACTCAAATGCCTTTGGCTCGAAATAATATCTATGCCACAGTTTATTCTCCATCCCTTCAGATGCAACACACCCAAAAGGCACATATTGTGAACCTTGGGGTCAGATAGCTTTGCGATACGGTATTTCTCAGTCAAGCTGCGTACAAAACCACCTTCTGAGAACCGGGACAGGCTCTCCGGAAATCCATGTCCTCTCCCATTCTGAGAAGGAGAGCATAGAGGAGGAAGAATTGTCTACTTCCCAGGAGAAAGCAAGCACTGTCGTCCACAGCCAGATTGCCTCCAGGTATCTGATCGCAGACACTGTAGGCCTGTGGGTTCTGGGGAAAATAATCAGATACGCAGCTCTGGGGCTGGAGACGTCGGTTCAGGGATGGGTTTGCTGAGGACTCCAGTAGAGGGGAGGGGAGACGGGAGACTCAGGAAGGCGTGGAATCTCCCGGGGAGGGGCTGAGAAGGGAGGAGGCCCAGGGGCAGCATCCCAGCGGATGCCAGTATTTCAAGGATGAGCAGATAAAAATGGAGAAACAAGACACGAAGAATACAAGGAAATATGGGAAAGAGACAGGTGGGGAGTAAAAGAGAAGAGATTCAATCAAGTGAAGGGCGATTCTTGAGGTAAAAGGAGGCTGATTACTTGTTTGTGATCCCTGGGGAGGGCGCTTCTGCAGAGGACGGGCTGGAATAGAGACGGGATAACAGAAAGTCCTTTCTCCAGGAAGCAGGGGGTTTGCTTTGGAGTAGAAGGGCGATTTTCATCAGAAACCAGCGTGGGGAGGGGCACTTGGGTGGCTCAATGGGTTGGGCGTCCGACTTCAGCCCAGGACATGATCTCCCAGTTTGTGAGTTCGAGCCCCGCGTCCGGGTCTGTGCTGACAGCCCAGACCCTGGATCTTGTCTCTCTTTCTCTCTCTCTCTCTCTGCCCCTCCCATGCTCGTGCTCTGTCTCAGTCTCTAAGAAAGAAAGAAAGAAGGAAAGGAAGGAAGGAAGGAAAGAAGGAAGGAAGGAAGGAAGGAAGGAAGGAAGGAAGGAAGGAAGGAAGGAAGGAAGGAAGGAAGGAAGGAAGGAAGGAAAAAAAAAAACCAGCATGGGAAAGAAACAAGGGAAGATAAATCATGTAACCTCGCCAAGGGAGACTTGATTTCACTTTTATAGAAAAGATCATTGCAATAGACAAGCTCTGAGATTTCATCACCTATTTTACCATTTTAATAAATATATAATCCCATTGAGTCTTCTGTTTTTGGAGTTTGATTTCAGAGTGAAATTTTGTAACTGATATGTTATTCATTACTTTGAAAGAAAATACTGATGGACACATTATATACGTCTTGGGACAACTGAAGGAATCCGTATATTTTAATATCTTAATGGCGTGAGGGGAAAATACTGTTCAGTGTCACTTATATAATATTCAGGCTTGGGAGGCATAACCTGAATCTAACCGTGAGGAAACAGACAAACCCAAAACAAGGAACACTCTTTTCTTTTAGGTACTGTACCTTCAGAAAAACGCCAATGTCACAAAGGCAAAGAAAGCAGGTGGAAATATCTGAGATTAAAGACAACTAAATTGATAAGACAACTAAATGCAATATCTGATTCCAGACTCAATTCTGTACCACAGGGAAAAATCCTATGACGGACATTGTTAAAGTCAATTGATGAGATTAGAAAACTGATAGTGGATATGGTGGATTAGAGAAAAGAAAAAATGTTGTATCAATGTTAAATTGACTAACGTTGACAAATGCACTTGGTTATCTAAAAGGAAACCTCTATTCATAGAAAATAGGGTAAAGGGCCATTGTCTGAGTCCTTCTGGGCTGCTATAACAAAATACTACAGGCTGGGTAGTTTTTAAACAGCAGATATGTATTGCTCAGTTCCGGAAGCTAGAAGTCCAAGATCATGGCACCAGCAGGGTCTGCTGAGAGCTATCTTCCGAGTTGAAGACTTCTCGTTGTATTGTTAGGAGGCAGAGGGATTTAGGGAGCTCTCTGGGGCCTCTTTTAAAAGGCACTAATCCCACCCATGACAGCCTCACCCTCATAATTAAAGCACCTCCCAAAGTCCCCTCCTACTAATATCATTATCTCTAAGGATTAGGGGTTCAGTGTATGAATGGAGAATGAGATGTGGGAGGACACAGACATTCAGACCATAGCAGCCTGGATGCATGCAATTTACTCTCAAACTGTTCAGAGAGAAAAAATGGGGGTAGGGGGTGGGCAGTGGTAAAGCAAAGGAAAGGCCATATGACAATCCTGGCGAAGAGTATGTAGTTGTTCAACGTACTATTTTTTAATTTTGCAATTCTTCTGTTAAGTTTGAAATTATTTTCAAATAAAAAGTTGAAACATACGCTGTGAGCTAAAAGAGTTCTTAGAGTTCTGTGTGCCAGCACTGCCACTGTGCATCGGAAGTTCCGGAGAATTCTACTTGAATAATACTGCAGTCAGGGGCACCTGGGTGGCTCAGTCAGTTAAGCATCCAACTACGGCTCAGGTCGTGAACTCACAGTTTGTGGGTTCGAGCCCCGCATTGGGCTCTATGCTGACAGCTCAGAGCCTGGAGCCTGTTTCAGATTCTGTGTCTCCATCTCTCTCTCTCTGCCCCTCCCCTGCTCACACTCTGGTCTTTGTCTCTATCTCTCAAAAATAAATAAACAGTAAAAAAATTTAAACAGTAAAATAACAAAATAATAATGCAGTAAGTGCCTTACTGAGGGAATCTTTCTTGGCATTTGAAACAACTGAGCAGATATTACTTGTGTTGTGTAAAAAGGAAAAAATTCAGCACTTCATGGTGGTGTGAATTTGTAGTGAGGAATGACTCTGAGGTTGCCCGTATCTTTGGTTCAGGCATATTATTTGTTTTATAAAAATTAATTGCTAAACAGAAGAGGAAAAATAAAAACAAACAGGTAAATTCTAATTGTTGCTAAAGCAGAGAATGCATAAAGGGAGTGGTCATAAATGGACATGAAATTTGCCTTTGCTATTGGCAAAAAGTTTACGTCTTCAGTTATAAGATACATTGAAAGCAAAGCTCATAGAAAATTACTTTTCTACTGCCAGAATATTGTCTTTAACAAGGTTCTGGAGTGTCCTGAAGCAGGCTGAATTACTTTCTTACGACATGCAATAAAAAGGGTGAAGATTACCAGGGAATTTGGACTAAGCGAATTTTCCAATTTTTACATCTGATAAATGATTTTATGGTGCTGCATGTGTAAGGTTTGGTTTTTGGGGTTTTTTTTTGTTTTTTGTTTTGTTTTTTTACTATTTATCACTTCTTTGTATAACAGCCTTTAATAACACCCGTGAAAACTGGTACCCTGATGGTTCTGACTACCCTGAGTCCGCTCACACTCTAGCCACCTGCCCAACTATGCAGCCATCTTCCTGCAGGCGACCCTGTGCATAAGCACAGTCCCCACTGTGTGGGGTGTGAAAAAGAAGGGACTTTCCAGTTCTGCAAGCTCCCATGCCCATGGAACACGCTGTCTACTCCAGAACAGTCCGTACCAATGCAAATTGTACAGATAAGGAGTGAGGTCATGAGCGGCTACTATACCTCTCAAAGGGGTTGAAATTAATATGGCACACCATGGGGTGCCTGAGTGGCCCAGTGGGTTAGGCGTATGACTTCGGCTCAGGTCATGATCTCACAGTTTGTGGGTTCGAGCTCTGTGTCAGGCTCTGTGCTGACAGCTAGCTCAGAGCCTGGAGCCTGTTTCAGATTCTGTGTCTCCCTCTCTGTCTGACCCTCACTGTTCATATTGTCTCTCTCTCTCTCTCTCGGAAATACATAAAACTTAAAAAAAAATAAAATAGCATAACCCTTTATTCTTAAATCCTAAACTGAAAGGAAGGGTGTCCATCTCAGAGTCATTATTCCACGACCTTTTATTTCTGGTTGTTGCACCTTCTTCTTTTACTAACTTTTCATCCTACCCTCTCTTTTCCAAATTTGCTTTACAGTTGATGTATGTGTTTTCTACCTCATAGAAATTATATTATCATTTTAGAAAATGAACAACCAAAGCAAAAAAAAAAAAAAAAAAACAGAAAAAAGTTTTTAACGTAAGAAAAAGAAAAGAAATTATATTATTAAAAACTCCTTTGTGTTCTGGTCTTGAATTGACCTAGAATATTAGATAACTGCCCAGGAGTTACAATAATGGAAGGTGTTCTGTGCTGGCCAGAAAAAAACAAAAACAAAAACAAAAACAAAACCCTGGAGATTTGGAGTTAGATATGGGCATTCTGTTAGCTTCACTGGGGGTGGATATGAGAAGTGGCTGTTGGAAAATATTTTCTCATCAATATTGTCTTTCGGAGTTCACCTTACTCAAGGAGAATATGTAAGAAATGATTGTTGAGGTTGACTGTTTTTTCCATCAATTAGTGTACCTCTTTCCCACAAGAGTCTTTTTTTTTTCAATTCCTTTTTTAAGGATCATAGACAACAAGATGTTCTCTATCAAAATATAAAAGCAGAGTACCAGCTCCATCGCAAGTTCTTGGCAATCTTTGTTTTGATTCTTCCATTCTAGCGCAAAGACTATAGTGTGGCCTGGTTATGATCAGTAGTGGATCTGTGAAGAAAAGCCAGCAGGACTTGAAAACACAAACACCTATCCTCAGCCTTGAGAAGTCTTGTTACAGTTTGTTGAGTAGTATGCAGATTGACTAACGTTTCAGCGGCCAAGTGAATTCCCCAAAAGAGCTCTCTCCTAAAGGAGGTCCATGCATCTTCAGGAGGGCTCTGTCCATGTCTGGACCATTCAGGTGATGCTTCAGACACAGCAGAAGGGGCAAAAGTGGACAGAAATAATACAAGTTATTTTAGAAACTTGCAAACATACTTTTGGAGAACATACTAACTTAAATGAGGTTCATAAAATGGTAGAAGCAGTTGAGATGATTTCTGTACAATCTTTACTCTATGAAAGAATAAGCAGTCATTCTTTTAAGGGAAATGCAGTAAGGAACAGACAAATGCTGTGGGAAGAATTATATTTGGGTTCTATTAGGACAAACTGCATACCAGGGACCACAAGAAACATTGCCAAGAAGGTTATGTGGACTCCTATTTGTAAGAAAGAGTGAAATTTCTTTTGTGAATGAAGTGTATTCATTCTTGTTCAGAAGCAGAAAGGTAAACCAGCTAGCCCCTCTAGTTTCTGGTGATTATTTACCCCTTTCATGTACAGAATCTCAGAGCTGCCGGGAACCTTGGGGTCATCCACTTTGTCCATGAGGACGCCAATTTAAGTGGTTGTCCAGAGTCATACAGAGTTGAAACAGCAACCCAGTTCTGTCAGCCTCCCCAGTCTGCACTTATTGTCGCACTGCACAGAACTACCTCCTTAGTTTATTTCCAGCGTTTACACAGGGAGTCAACTCCCCACCCCATTTCTAGATCCCACACCCCACTCTGGTTTTGAGTAGCATTCTCTTTGTACTTCATGACTTCTCCTTATGACTGGGGCCCACAGAGGACAGATACGAGGACCCCCATGAATGTTTAGCCATGAACTGAAACTCAAAGAAATGAAGAGCTCTGCTGAGGTCACAGCTAGCCTGTCCCGAGCTCCCAGCTCCCCAGGACATTTTCAGGGGACAGCACTGCATCCCTGACATCCCATTGACAGAATGTCTTCCTTTTTGCCTTCGTAGGTTTCACGGCGGCAGCCTCCCTCGTGTCCTTGGCTTGGGCCTTGGCCTCCTACCAGAAGGCCCTCCGGGACTCTCGCGATGACAAGAAGCCCATCAGCTACATGGCCGTCATCATCCAGTTCTGCTGGCACTTTTTCACCATTGCCGCCAGAGTCATCACTTTTGCCCTCTTCGCCTCGGTTTTCCAGCTGTACTTTGGGATCTTCATCGTCCTCCACTGGTGCATCATGACCTTCTGGATCGTACACTGTGAGACGGAGTTCTGTATCACCAAATGGGAAGAGATTGTGTTCGACATGGTGGTGGGGATCATCTACATTTTCAGCTGGTTCAACGTCAAGGAAGGCAGGACTCGCTGCAGGCTCTTCATTTACTATTTTGTGATCCTTTTGGAAAATACAGCCTTGAGTGCCCTCTGGTACCTCTACAAGGCCCCCCAGATTGCAGATGCGTTTGCCATCCCCGCGCTGTGTGTGGTGTTCAGCAGCTTTTTAACGGGCGTCGTTTTTATGCTGATGTATTATGCCTTCTTTCACCCCAACGGACCCAGATTCGGGCAGTCACCAAGCTGTGCTTGTGAGGACCCAGTCGCTGCCTTCACTCTGCCTCCGGAAGTGGCCACGAGCACGCTCCGGTCCATCTCCAACAACCGCAGTGTCGCCAGCGACCGCGACCAGAAATTTGCGGAGCGAGACGGGTGCGTACCCGTCTTTCAGGTGAGGCCCACGGCCCCGTCCACCCCGTCGTCTCGCCCACCACGGATTGAAGAATCTGTCATTAAAATTGACCTGTTCAGGAATAGGTACCCGGCGTGGGAGAGACACGTTTTGGACCGAAGCCTACGGAAGGCCATCTTGGCCTTCGAATGCTCCCCATCTCCTCCAAGGCTGCAGTACAAAGACGACGCCCTTATTCAGGAGCGGCTGGAGTACGAAACCACTTTATAAAATAGAAGGCCTTGGAGGAGCCACAACCTCCACATGAAGGGGTGACAGCGGGGCTGTGGAAATAACGAAACTCTGTCCTAGACTAGGGCGATGAGCCGTAATGCACAGCTGCCTGCCTCCTGCTGGCCGCCTTTCCAAACAGCGGCTGAAGGAAACTCGGGAGCTCAGGAGGACTCCTTGTTGCCACCAGCCCCCTGCCCACTCTCAGCGTGTCCACCAGAGGGTACAAGTATCACGGAAAATGTTGCCTCCGACCAATAGGGTGTTTTGAGGGCGTTAACTGATCTTTGCATAAAAATATATTCAGTCACACACACGTGCACACACATGCTAACACACACAGCAGCAGTCCTCTGTCAAAATAGCTTAGGTGATTTTTCTTGATGCAAAACTCTGATTCCAAATATAAAAACGAGAGAGAGAGAGAGAGAGAGAGAATATATCCATCAAGACTCCAGAAAAAAAAAATAGTACTACTTAGAAAAGAATTCATAGACCATTCTCATTAGGAAACCAATAAATACCATGCGTGAAAATCCTACCCGACGGACAGCAACTTCAACCGTTGTTTACATGTGTATTAGAATCGAGGGAATGGTTCGTTTTCCACACATTTCAGGATCTGTCTTTTATTTTGAAGTTTCAGTTGAGAACATCCTTTCTGACAGAATTCCTATGCAGCACATGTATGGCTTTTGACAAGACCAAGGAGCTCGATAAGTTTGGGATGTGAACGAAATGGTGATCACGATTCAGTATTCAGTTGCAGAAAGCTAATAAATCCATGAAGAGGAAAGCACGGGAAAGACACGGCAGAACGAACGTCAGATTTCCCGGCCTGTGTGGCTCTCACTGGCATGTAATGCAGGGGCAGAGAGGGACAGGCTGATCTGGGTGTCACGAGACGTGGAAAAGCATGGCCCTGTGTGAACATGGGCAGGCGCCACTCAAGAGCACACCGTGCCACACCCTCCTAGTGCCAAACACTGTCCAACCACAGGACTGAGGTGCAAGTCCCAAACACCTGAGAACGAGTGGCCCGAGACCCCAAACCCAGACGTGAGAGTGCACCATCAAGTTCCCCACTGTGTACAGACTTCCCTCCCCCACCCCCAAATCCAAGGTCAAAGTGATGTGTCTTTTAGAGGCTTTGGGACACGTTTTAGTAAGTATGAGCAGACGATGCAGTGCATATGCTATGAGAAAACCCTTCCAAACTGATTGAAAGCTTACCACTAGATCCATCTAAGATTCGTATTTGAATCATTTGTAAAGTCGCACTCTGACAACAAACTTCCGGGTTTTAAATACCTCCGGACAGCAAGTAAACGTTCCCCGCTTTCTGTTCCCAGTGTCCTCGGTCATGGTGCTTTTTGTTGCATTAAAAGTGCCGGTCAAACTTTGATAGTATTTTTTTATAGTTGGTGCAGAGTGGAATAACTCATGGATTATTTCAATATTTTTGTAATAAAAAATATAGGGTATACATACAGGCATCATCACTTTTTTTATAGACCTGGAATTGTTTAAAATACTTTAAGCATCATAATTACTTGGGATGTCGGGAACTGGTCCACCAATTCCATCAGCCTGCCTCAGCAGATTGAGAACACCTGTCTCTTGGAAGATCACCCTCCTTTGCCATGTTGGTGCCCCCAGGAACCTGGCCAGGGGTGCTATCAGAATATCAGGGGACAAGAGAATCCGCTTAACTAGAAAGGGCTTGTCAAGACTGGCCAATGTTTCCCAGGATGTGAAAGCTGTAAATGATTACTTTCATCCATCCATTATCACATACCTGACCACAGTGGAAGATGTCTTAAACTTCCTTCCCTGGTTTTATATTAACCCAAGTGATATATTAAATATTAGTCCAAGTCACTAAATGAGAGAGAGAAAGAGAGAGAAAGAGAGAGAGAGAAGAAAAGGTCTGTCTAAATCATTCAGTTATTTGGACTGTCCAATCCACTTAAAATAGTCAAGTTCTAGAGCCACTGCCTGTAATGGGTGTGCCGTACAGAGACAACTGTCCCCGTGACATCCACAGGCAATGGCAGAGGGCTCAACCTAGGACTTCTTTTGGTGTAAAGCCCCAGAGCAATGCTTTAAAAATAGATGATTTTTTATCAGTAGACACACTTTCCTAGTGCTCCATGATTTGATCCTCCAAGCAAGATTTCCACTCAAAAATAATAATCTTTTGTTTGGATGTGGAAAGCTTACCTAGTCGCCCAGGAAGATGTTCTTCTTGTCAGCGATCGGTGAAAACATTGCACCCCCACTGTAGAAGGAAAACATGATTATATTGGCAAAACATCTTCACCTTTGTGCAGGACCCTGAGTTATTAGCTTCCTTGTTTCCAAGAAAACTTCTAAGGGATGATCTTTGGAAACTGAATGGCTCAGTTGAACTATACCTTTGATTTCATGAGTCAGTAACAGATGCCAATGATAGTGTCAATGAACAGAAACTCAGCAGACCCCACCCCTCCTCAATCATGTAAGTCCTGAGTTATTTCTCAGTTTGATCCCTCCTTTACCATGTTAAGAGTCAAAATGAGTGCTTTGTGAATACACGATGATGTACTGTGCTTTGTCTTGGAGGTTAAGAATGCAGTCTTAGGAGAGCATAAGAAATTTGCATTTTTCAGTGATTTCCCAAATACTATAAATACTCTGTTATCCGACATACTTAAAGAGTATGATGTTTTAGATCATCAAAAATTCTTGCTAAGGAAATGACATCTCCATCACAAATTCCAAACTTTCTTAAGATTACAAGAACGGAACACCTTTACCCCCCAGGAAAATCATGACTTAATCTTGTTTCCATGATCCAGAAGGGCACTGCACAGCCCTCAGACTGTATAGTGACAAGAATTGTTATTTGATGCTCGATACACAGATAACAGAGGGTTTAAAGTATTAGGATTTAAAGAGACATTGTCAATGTACAGAGGAACAAAGTTTGATTTTTGGGTTTGTATTTTAGTTCTTCCTAAGATTTCATTTTCAACCTGCCACTCATTTTTTGCATTGGACCAGAAAATTTTCTAAAAGAAGATGTTATACATTTCTTTCACTTTCAAGTTAGCATTTCGAAATGAAAACTTATGTAATATTAAAGAATATATGTAACTTCGCAGACAGAGATGTTTATGTATTTGTGTGGAAGAAAACAAATTTTTTGCATGTAAGTCAAAGTTTGGTCCCCCATAATGACTATGTCTTTCAAATTCTCTTAGTCATTTACGCTGTCTTACTATGAACTGTCTAGTTCAGTGACATCTACTTTGCAGATAACTCAGTTACTATTCACTTCTGATAATGCTGTGAACCCCATGAATGAAATAAATTCTCTTACCGACTTGGCAAGAACATGCAGTTCGAGTATTAGCACAATATAAAATACAAAGATAACCTGAAGATAAAAGTATCATGAGATATATATGCTTAATTCCTAAATTCCCAATTTCTTTTGCTCTATGAATAAATGAAGTGATAGTACTGACCAGATACAAGTGAATGGGAATAATTGAAATCTTGATGACTGTTTTTCTAAATATGAGAACACACATATTTGTTTTATATATATATATTTATATATTTTACATATATATAACACATATGCTTTATACATATATATATGCACACACACAATTCAAGTAACAGAGATGAAAGAGAAGAAGTATATATTGCCCTTTCATGTACATAAACTGGTATGTTACTGATACATGAACTTTTAGTTAAAAAGCTTTTTTCTTCTCCTTTTTAGCCCAAGCTTACAGTCCCTTGTCTATAAGACATCAACACACCTGAAGTGTTGTGAGAAATACCCAGATGCAATTTAATGCTTTCAGCCTGAATAAACTGTATCCCTCCAAAAAGATTTCATCTCTTAAACAGCTGAATAGAATAGTTTTGAATCATTTCAAAGTTTCTTTCTCCAAACCGATTGAATTGAGTGAAGAAAAACTCTTGTGCCCTCACCAGCAACTGCAAAATTACACGGTTGCCTTTAAATGCACCAAACGCCATTGAGTGGACCAAGTTCTCCCCCAATGTTTAGACAAGGACCCATTTTTTTTTCCTAATGAACCATTTTCTAGACTAAGTATGTGCTTCCCTGCAGTCTCCTACATCTTTGCCATTAGCCATTACTGTTTCTATATAAAGCTTGGATGATACGCCTGCATTTTTATGTTTCTAAGGAGAATTCCTTAAAGCCTGTTTAAAAATAGCTTAGACTGTCTTTCAGAAGTACGGCTCAGAGGACGGTTGAAGTGCATGGTGAAAACACAGCAGAAACTGAGGTGGTTGTTTCTATACATTCAGTGATGGAAGCACATCAACTCATGTTCATTTATCTTCAGCAATGCAGTGCCACTTTGGAAAACAATCAAAATGATTGCTTTTGCCGGCCTGTGACTCAAAACACCCCCCTTACCATCTGAAGCTGGGGCATCCCAACATGGCTAAGGGTGGGCCATTCCCCTCTATCGCCCACCCACTGCAACACCTTCCCTCATGTCCAAGTCTCTGGCCCTGACCTGTATTGTTCTATGAAGTGATCTCAACAGTTGGGTTGCGTCTCCTCTGCTCACTCAGGCAGGCTGCACTGTCCACTGTAGAGCTTTCCCTGTGCACGTATGTCCTGTCCAGTTGCTAGCCTAGAAATGGGCACACAGAAAGACTCAGTTTGTGCCTGTGATCAGCAATCTCAACAGTAGGATTACTCATTCAACAGGAAGACTCCACAGAATGTGGGCGGAATTGTATAAAAACACAATGAGCCATTTAATTTTGTTAATTGTAGCAATTAGGCTAGCTTGAACATGGGCTGTGCTCATAGCAGAAAGCCAAATGGAAGAAATGGCAAACAGCCATTTGCCCACAGAAATGAGGGGTTCAGAAACTCTCCCTTGAGTGTTTAAGGCATCCCGTTGTTTGATCATCCATCTGTAGCTCTTTCTCTAGATTCCATAAGGAAAGAAATCAGA